CTGCTGAAATTTTATATCTTTTATCTACCTGGACATGAAAAGCATGATTATTTTACAGTCTGTGTTTAATAATTCCCAAATCTGAAGCTTTCCTGGGGTCTCTTTTTATATTTTTGTTTCTGCTAATTCTTATTTATCTTGTATCCTTGTCTGTGTGGTTATCTTTAATTGTATGCCAATATTGTATTTGAAAGGTTGCTTGTAGAAATATAGTTGACCTTTGAACAACACAAATTTTAACTGCCTGGGTCCACTTATGTGTGGATTTTTTTCACTAAATACTACATACTACAGTATTGTATGATTTGTGGAAATGGAACTTCAGTTACGGAGGACTGACTGTAAAGTCATAAGCAGATTTTCAACTGTGCAGAGGGTTGGTGCCCTAATTCCCATGTTGTTCAAAGATCAACTGCAATTTGATGCCCGATAAGATATTTTCATCCTCCACAGAGTTTTTTTATATGCTCTACTAGGCACTTGGGCACTAGTAATTCAGGAACATTTTGACCCAATTTCAGAAACTGAGATTTTCTGAGTCATCCATGTGACTCAGAGCTGAGCTAACTGTAGTAGTGCCCTTACTTCCTGTTAATCCTTACTTCAAAAATTCTTCAGGCTTACTAAGTGTGGATTTGGTCTACCAGAGCTAGTGCCCGCACCTCTTGGCTGGCACTACATTCTACCTTTGAATCCCAAGTCCCTTAGCTCTGCTTAGCTTCTCAGTAGCCTCTTAAAAATCTGCAAAATCTCCCAGGGTACAAGTGGTCACAAATGAAGAATTCATTTCCTTTATGAATTTCTATTTTCTCTCAGATATTAACTTGATAATTATTCACTAACTTAGCTTTCTAATATCATCCAATACTTTTTCAAATATATTTGAAATATTTCTAAATATTCTCAAGTGAGAATGTTAAATCCAAATTACTCAGCCCACTTTATTTCCTGTTGACTATGTGTAAAGTGTAATTGATATCTTTGTATTGCTTCTGTATCTGGAAACTTACTAAACTCTAATGATGCTTGTAAGTTATTTGCAAATTCTTTTGGATAGTCTACATAATCTTTAAATAGGGACAGTGATTTGTTTTTTCTAAGATCCAAATTTTGGTTTTGTTAATCCTCTCTATGTTTGTTTTCTGTTTCATTAATTTCTGCTTTTACCAGTATTACTTATTTTTTCTATTTTGTTTGGAGTTTTTTATTGTTCTTGTTTCTAATTTCTTGTGGTAGATGCTTACCTCATTCATTTTCAGCCTTTATTTTCCATTTTTCATTAGGGGTTGTTTTTTTTCAACCCTTGGGTTTTTTAGGAGAGTGTTCCTTCATTACCGACATAGAGTTTGGATTTGGGTTTTTTTTTTAAATCCAATTTGATATTCTTCGTCTTTTAATTGGAACACTAAAGCCATTTACATTTAACATAATGACTAATAGATTTATGTCTGCCATTTTATTTTATGGGGGTTTGTTTTTTGTCTAGCTTGTTCTATGATCCTTTTTCTCTATTTTCTTGCCTTTTTAAATTTGTATTTACTTTTGTTTTTTAATTCCATTTATGCCAATTATTAACTGTCTCTCAATTCTAGACACCCTTCTGTATTCTGGAACTTTGCAAACTATATTTCTCCTTCACCATCTAGCTTCCTTTAGGTTCCACAAATAGGGGGCACTAGAAGGAGACTGGAAAGCTGGAGAACGGGAGAAGAGACTTTGACTATTGCCATTTGCTTCCTGATCACCAGCATCGC